TGTGTGTGAGGTTACTTCTGGGCTCTCTGCTGCACTGGTCTAAGTATTTTTTAGTGCAGTCCTGTTGTGTTTGGATAACTAGTATTGTAGATTCTGAACTCAGGATGTGCGATGCCTCTTGTTCGTTTGCTCAAGGTTGCTTGGAATACTTAGGGTCTTTTACAACTGCTTACATATTTTAGGATTTAAAAAAGTGTTTCTGTCAAGAATAATATTGGACTTTCGATGAGAATTGTTTTGAACCTGCAAATCATTTAAGATAGTATGAATATTTAAAAATATTAATTCTTCCCATCCATGAACATAGGCTATCTTCCCATTTTAATTGTATCTTCCTTAATTTCTTTTATCAGTATTTTATAACTTTCAGAGTAGAGACAGAAAAGCTATGTCAGTATTTCTAGGGCAATAATACTAATTGTTGAAGTTAGTAATCTTTCCAATGAAAGATGAGGTTCAAGATAAACTGGCAACCAGTGATTTGAGATAGTCTTCCTGCAGATCAGCAGGTTAGTCAGAAAAGAGCCACACACCTACATGCATGAGGTGGGCCAGGTACAGCACGAGGCTGAGCAGAAAGATGTAAGGAAGAGATCACTAGGAGTGATGGGATTATGGAAAGTGATGGGGCATTGGGTCACTTCTCTTGCTGTAACCATGGTGTCCAGCAGGCCCAGAAGAGATAGTCCTTGCCTTTGTGATTTCCTTATCTTCCTGGTCACAGGCCAACAGCAGGTTGAGATCTACATTTGGGTGAAGGACAACAGAGAGAGATCACAGTGTTCTAATGGAAGTGTGAGGGAGGAAGCATCTCCAGGACAAGGTGATATGCAAACATTTACACATCAACAGAAGATGGCACCTGGAAGCCGCAAGTCCTTGCTGACAGTGGAGTGTGCTGGGACATGAGATGAAGACAAAGCACAAAGCCAGCCGGAGCATCCACACCAACTGGTGAGTTTACCAGGATGCCCGGGCAGCAAGCTATGGACCTTGGTGATAAAAGACAGGACAGTAAGAGGTGAGACAGCGTGAGTTCCTGGCTGCGACTCGTCCTGCTGTCTCCCACCCGCCACCCGGCCACCATCAGCCCATTTTAGAAAGGAAGAAAATCTGCCCAGCAGTAACCCGGCGGTGCTCAGGCAAACTTTACCTTCAGTGAGATTGCCAGCGGGCCTAGAGTGCACACCAGAGTTTGAAGAGCGTTAGTGTAGGAGACTTTACGCGAGAGACAATAGTTTTACTTACTCAGTCCTTCGCTGCCTAAGTTAATTAGGGACAACAGTTATATGTAACTATTTTAATTATTAGTGACTTCTAATTTTTTTCAAAGATTCACCTGAGAATTTTACAAATGTAATAGATATTCTGTGTCACCCAATCACTCTCAAATATGCCTGCAATTTCAGAATATGACTTGAAGCCACAAACTTGTTTATCAACAAGTGTCTTGAAGAACCCCACACACTCTACTATAGAACTGCTAATTAGAAGCCACTTGAATCCATGTGGACCTAACAGACCATTGTCCACCACCTTGGGACACACACATGTTACACAGGTGGTGTGCTGAGCAGAAAGTGTCCAGATTTAAGAAGGCCGGGAAGCCCCGTTCACAGGATGGCAAATACAGTCTGCAGTCCTTCAAATCGCCAATGAAACATTCCCCTCACCCAGAAGCACCTAGACTGGCGATGGTGAACCTTTCAGGGCTTTCGATGATAGAGCTTGTTGCAGCATGTGCGCTGAGGCTTGCCGCCATGGAGGCATCTGAAGATGTTATAAATCGTCCCCAAGTTCTTGTTTATGAAAAATTGTGGTGCCTGATATGATCACAAGGTCTAGTGCTTGTTAAGTACTTGGTATGTGCTAGGATATGATCCCCCTTCACCCTGTGTCTGTCTCCTTAAAACTTCCTCAGATAGGAACTTTTGTCTTTAGTTTGCAAGGGAGGAAACTAAAGGTTAGAATATAATAAATTGTCCAGAATCATAACTAGTAAGTGAATGAAAAATAGTGACTGTGAACTCAAAATTTGATCCAGGTTACTGTAAGACCCATATGTGTACCTGCTGGTGCACACTGCAGAAATCTTTAGAATAAATCTACAGCAATTCTATAAAACCAACTCTATATCAGTGTAAATGAGACATTTCTCCTGAACCTTGTACCTCCTTCCTAGACTACCATCTCTCACAAAAGTCCAGCATTTCTTAAACATGCAAGACAGTTTATCATGACTTCATTCAACCTGTTTTATCTCAGAGGTGACCACATGAACCCCTGTTTATAAAATCTGTAAGGTGATGACTGTCAAACATGAAAATAAGCTGGGTGTGGTGGCACACGCATATAAACCTAGCACTTGGGAGGCTGAGGCAGGAGGATTGCTGCAAGTTTGAGGCCAGTCTGGGCTATATAGTGAGCCCAGGCCAGCCTGCACTATAAAGCAAGACCCTGTCTCCAAAAGACAAAACAAAAAAACCCACAAACATGAAAACAAAATAAGCTGGCTCGTGCAGGTTCGGCTAACTTGAGGAAAAGGTCATTTCAGTTTTAGTTAGATTCTTCCCTATGTAGTAACGCAGAGCTCAGGAAGGAAGGCAACCACATCACAGCGCCTCGTGGGCTCTGCACTGCACCCCTGACTTCCCGCCTGGTTGCTAATGAGTCAGCTCAGAGACCCTCACCGCAAGGAGAATCGGCCCAATTGCATGATCGGGGCAGGGGGCTTTCCAGATCAGCAGCTCGGCCCGTGTGCGGTCAGTGGACCTGCGTGTTGCTCCATAGGGCGGAAGCAGGCTCAGAGTGGCCTGGCATGTGTGAAAGAGCCTGGCTCGAGCACCCGGTGCCGCGTTCCCCTGGCAAGCACCACTCCTGCCACGTGAGAGAAGATGGGCTCCTGGAGGTCGTCTATCAGATGGAAATGACAGATTTACCGGGAAACTTCCTCCTGGGAGACAGAACCCAAAAGGGCCCCACGGCCATCACTGAGGACCCCTTTCCTTTCCTGGGGCCACAGGGTCCCTGCACTTGCTGAGCCTGGGGTTTGCAAGGGGGTCTCCAGCAGCACTGGGTCCTCACACCAACCCGGGACACATGAGCAGCGCGGTGCGGATGAGAAGACACGCTGTGGAGAGGGCACACATCCACTGCCCCAGCTGCAGGCCAGCTGAGCGGCGAAGCTTTTTGCATGGAGCCCCAGGCTCTCGAAGGGGAAGCACGGACCCCGATCCCCAGTCCACGCAGCTCCCCGGTTACTAAAATCTTCCCCATGTCGCTCTCCAAGGCTGCAGCTCCCCGCTAGGCCCCACGTCTGAAGCCCCCAGCACTGCTGGGCGCCAGCACTGTGCCCCCCCAGGGCCTCGGCTCCCGCTGCTCCTTCAGAGCCGATCAGATAACTTCATCGCGGAGGACCTGGCTCCGGAAACCCCGCCTTGCCGCCACCCCGCGGGACTTGGCAGAGCCCTGCAGAACCCCGGTGCCCCTTCCCAGACCCGGGAGCCGTTGTGCTGCCCACCTGCCAGTGCTGGCCAGGCTGCCTGGCTCCCGGTGGCCCCAGGCAGAGCGGGCACCCAGTGGCCTCAGTGTCCTCCAGCTAAGTGAAGTTTGCTTCTAACGATAGAATCAGAGCAGCTCTCTGCTGCTCTAGTTATATATTTGAAAGTAGCTAGAGGAGTAGAATTTATGTATTTGTAAAATTTTTTTCTATGAAAACTAGAACAAAATTTCATAACAAAATAGTTAGAGAATAACAATACATCATGTGTCATATCTTAAAAGAATGGCCAAATGTTACTCAGAGTACACTTAAGTCATAGACAAAAAGAGTCTCTTACCAAGAAGAAACAAAGAGATAAAAGCACAAAACTTGCTCTTCAGTGAACTGAGAAACTAGCAGCATAAATGAAATAGTATATGAGCCTGCAAACAGATGAGTGGATAATGAATGGTGCCTATATACAGTGGAGTACTACTCAGCCATAAAGAAGGATAAACTTGAGCCCTTCCTAGGTAAATGGATGCACCTTGAGATCATAAAGTTAAGTGAAATAAGTCAGACACAGAAGTTTACATATCAAAGTTTCTCTTATATGAGAAACTATGTATAGATAGATAGAGAGAGAGAGCAAAGTAGAAGATACAGAATAGGGAGAAATCCAAATAACTCCCTAATTATCTATTCTATTGTTTAAAAAATATTTTAATATATACACTAATTTGTTTCAATGTTGCAAGGGACTAAGAGCAAAGAAAATTTTCTATTACACTGTGATTTTCTAGAGCACAGGAAACTGGTTTACGGTCAATGTCCAACTCTGGACAGAGGGTGAGACCCAAGAATATTTATTTATTTATTCCATCACTTCCCTTCTCACATCATACACTGTGGACTGAGGGTGGCATTCTGGTGAGAAGCCTGAACATTACCCTCGTGTGCCCTGGGGTCACTTTTAACCCATGGACCCTCTTCCAAGTCCATGTAGATGGACATCTGACCACCACCCCTCACCTCTCGGTATGGCCCACTTCTCAGAATGAACAGCTGTGAACATCCGGCCTCTGTACGTCACCCTACCATTTAAGCACCTGGCCCAGAGAGTGTGTCCTTCTTTGGGACTTTTAAATATCTCAAGCCTTTTGTCTTTCTAGCACATGGACTAAGTTTTACCACTAAGCTGGTCATAAGGACGAGGTGGTGTACCCTTGTAATCCCAACATTCCTGGAGGTTGAGGCAGGCGGATCACACAGGTTCAGGCCCAGCATGACAACTTAGTGAGACAAGGTCTCAAAGTAGGAAATAAGAAAAAGGTTGGCGATGTAGCTCAGTACAAAGGCTCTGGGTTCAACCTCCAATACTCCAAACAAAGAAAAAAACCTAAACTGCTCGCAATAATGTTTTAAGGTATTAACTCTTCATACTATTCTTTAGTCAAGAATGAAAAATTGTGATTCAACTGAAGCATGTATTCTAATAAGTATAAAAGTTTGCACTTACCTTCTAATGCGTATTTCATATCGAGAGCGAAGAGAGTCCACATAATTTCAGCACTTATCTTCCCCATGTTGAGTTCTTGAGGAAACCTAAACCCAAACAAGGTCCATTAGTGCATCAGGAGGAGGGCTGCATCTGGGAGAGAAGAATCGGAACGCCCCGTCTCACAGGCCTGGACCACAGCTCACCACGCCCTGCAGAAGCGCTTTGCTCAGGGCGTCCCGGGACCCTTACCACAGTGAGACGGGCTGTGCTGCAGGGCCGAGACACCGGGCTGGGGAAGGAGACCGCGTACCTCAGTGCCCAGGTGGCGCCCTCGGAGCCCTGGAGCGGGTGGGGGCCCAGGCCCGGACTCGGCCTTCCGGTGCATCATTGTGGGAATAGTCCACATAAACCCGAATGGCAGACACACTATTGCATGTGAGCATGCACACACGCAATCACACCTCACACACATGCATGTGTGTATACAGGCACACATACAAAAATATATGTATCTGTATTTCTGTACCCAAAGCAGGGTACGTCAGTCATCACCACCAATTTGATAATCATGTCCATTGATATTCTGAAACTTAAATGCAGAGTTTTTATATTTAATGAAAATATAAACTCAGAACTTGTGATCCAAAGTTAATATATACAAATTAGTTTTCAGCATGAAATTTTACTTTGTTGGCATAAAGATAGCTTTAAAATAATTTATTTTAAAATGTTTCATGTGTGCAGATACTAACATCATAATATTTGTAGAATATTAATTTTCATGTAAGAAACACGTAGTACTAACATTATAAGTCATATAAAGAGAGTGCTTTGAGCTCAAAGAGTGCAAACAAATTGCTTGCTTGCTTGCTTGCTTTTTTTTGTGGTATTGGAGACTGAACCTGGGGCCTTTGCATTGAGCTACATCTCCAACCCATTTTTTTTTTTTTATGTTGAGACAAGGATTTTAATGTCTTTGAGTAAAAAATAAAAAATATATCAATTCACTTCACAATACTCCAATAAAAAGGAAACTATGGGGAAGTATCTCTCATAAACATAGATGTACAAACTTTCAAAATTAAAATAGCACATTAGATCTTCTATTAAAAGGACACCGTATCATTACCACGAGTGTTCATCTCAAAATATGTAAAGGTGGTTCAAAAATGAATCAATGCAATTTATCATAAAAATATATGAAAGAAGAAAAATTTTATGATCATCTCAATAGATGTAGCAAAGGTATTTGCCAAACTTCAGTCTTCATTTATAATATTAAAAAAACTATGAGAATTAGGAATTAAAGTAAACTTCCTTCACCTCGTAAAAAGAATCTATAAACACCCATTGCCAACGTTATACGTATATCTGCACTAAGACCAGAAACAACATGTGACACTCACTCTCGGGACTCCTACTGAGCTTTGTAAGTTTCTGAAATTCTGCAGAATGCAAAAGAAGGAAAGAGGAGGCACATGGGTAGCAAGAAAGAGATGAAATGTTTTGTAGACATAATTTCTACAGAGAAACTGGTCCAATCACTACTGAAAGAGTTATCTTCTTTGAAAATGTCTAAGAATCTACCAAGAAAAGCTACGAAAAATAAGTTCACAAGATAAAAATTGTGTGTTTCTATTAGCATAGAACCACCAGAAATTGAAATTAAAATAATGTCATTTGTAATAGTAACAAAAGTTATTAAATACTTAAGTATAAATCTAAGAAAATTTATATGAAGAGAACTACACAGTATCAAGATCAGAAATTAAATGCGGCTTAATTAAGCAGAGAGATGTACTGTGTTTGGCTTGGTAACTTGATGTTGTTAGAATGGCCGTCTTTCCCAAATGGATGGAGCGCTTCCGTGCACTCACAGTCAGAATTCCAGAGGGAATTTTTGTAGTATTGACAAGCTGGTTCCAAAATCAGCACAGTAAAGTAAAAGAACTAGAAAAGCAAAAATGAAATGAAAAGATGACAGACTGCTTTCACCAGTCTTTACAGAATCCTGTGTCCTGTATTTACAGAATCCTGAGTTTCCTGTATCTTCAGATACAAGATCAACCCGTTTCCAATAAGGCGCAGCAGAAAGTCAATAGAGAAAATAATCTTTCTAATAAGTGATGCTGGAATCACTGAATTCAACTGAAAGAAAACACAATCAAACAAACAAAATACCACCAGCAAAAAAGGGAAACCAAAAACAAAAGGATTGCAAGTTACAGCACAGCCTGGGTAGTAGGGACTTAAAGATCCCGGCTCCACAAAAGGGCAGGGGACAGCAAGGGTGTCTGAGCTTCCAGCTCATGTGAAGACCTTGGATTCAATCCCAGTACTGCACATCTTGAGAAAGAGTCTCAGCCCAAATCTTACATAAAAAAATTAACTCAAAACGGATCCAGATCTAGATGTCAAATTTACAGTGGCACTTCTGAAAGACAACATACTTTTGTGATCATGTATAAGGAAAAGTTTGCTTAGATGTGACATAGAAAGTGCAATCCATGAAACAAAGCAGTGATAAATTAGACTTAACAAATTAAAATCTAATCTTCAAAAGAAACTAGTGAGAAAAGGGAAAGATAAGTCGCAGAGTACAAGAGTTGTGCAAAATCCACGTGTGATAAACGACTGGTCCCCAGAGGGAACAAATCCCACTTAGATGGCGGAACACCGAAACATTCACCCGGAAAGAAAGGGGCAAACGACCTGAGGGACGGCGTGTCAGGGAAGAAGGGAGGCACGGATGGGGATGAGGGGAAAGGTGCGCACGCAGCCCGCTCACAGCCTGATCCCCGTCACACGTTATTCAAAAGGTAAAAACATACGGGGGAAAGCAGATCAGTGGTTACCAAGGTCTTGAGGTGGGGACAGGAGCTGACTGTAAAAGAAACACCAAAGAACGTTTGGGGTATGAGTGGGACCTGAAATGCCCCCCAAAGGCGCAGGCTGTAGAAGGCTTGCTCCCCAATATGGGGAGCTCAGAGGGGGATCCAGAGATGGGTGAGTGCATTGTGAGGTGCTGACTTGTCGATGGGTGAGCCTCCAGGGCTCCTCATCAACTGGGTGGGCTGTGAGGGCGAGGCCTAGGCAGGCCCCAGCTCGCTGGGCGGTGCTTTTCAAGGGTGCATCTTGTCCCTGGCCTCCTCCCCGGCGGCCTTTCCCTCCTTCCTTTGCCTCCTGGTTACCCTGGGGTGACAGCCTTCCTCTGCACGTCCTTGCCCTTCTGCCTCACCACAGCCACCGAATGGGGCCTCTGGCATCACAGGCCAAACACAGCCTCTTCCCTTAAGGTTTTATGCCAGGTGTTTTGTCAAGGTAAGGAAAACCTAACACAGGGTGAGAAAAACCTTCTACATCTTAATTTTGGTGGCCGTGAGCCCTGGGTGGCTCTGTGGCGGTGTGAAGGGTGCGCTTCCACGGAGGAGGAATCCGTGGCCTCCGCGGAAACGGGGCAGAAACGTGGTCACAGCGCAGTCAGAACCCCTGGCACCCGCATCGGCCTCACCAGGAGTGTGGAGGATGCAGTGGGTCCAGTGCCCGTCGTCAGAACAGGGGCAGGAGGAGACAGGGCAGAGGCCAGGGAGGGGACAGAGGGAGGAGGGAGAGGCCGAGGCTGGGGCGGGGACCAGGAGCGCCACGCCCCGAGCAGAGCGTCTAGCAGCTTTTCCGTTCCTGCTCTCTCCTGCCTCTGCCAGCTGTCAGGAGTTAATGGCCGTGGTTTGAGCCCTGAGGTGCGACCACAGACAGCGGCAGATGCTCAGGGAGCTTTTGGCCTTCGCCTGGTTGTGACATTTAGAGGAGACGGAAAGGTGGCTTCCGCTCTCTTGGAACACTGGGGACTCAAGAACATTAGCGAGAGGAAGAGGAGAGCAGAACACGAGCCAAGTCCAAACCAGAAATGCAGCCCATGGCCGTCGACATGCTCTTTTCCATTCTTCCTTAAACAACCATAAAATAGTATCAAAGCACTGAAAATGTCCTCCTACCCAGCTTTTTCTTTCTTGTTTTGCATTAGCCTGTTGGTTTCCCTTTGTAATATTTACAGTTCAAATCACTGGCCTCCTATTTTATGTATAATCCCTCTTCAATTGAATCTCAGGCGCGGTTCTTGCTGAGCGCTCAGTCGGTTTCTGGAAGGTCCGTGGGGTCTGGGCGCCCCTCCAGTGTTTGAAGCTTTGCCCCTCGGAGTCTGCAAGGATCTGCTGCTCGCAGCTCTGCGGTGCCAGGACCTCTGAGGAGGGAGAAGTGCCGGGCAGGGTGAAGGACGAGCTGCGTTTCTCCATCCACTCATTTAATGTGAGTTCTCAGAAGTCCACGTTTGCATTTTGCTTTACCCCCTCGTGGTAGTTTTGTTGCCGCTGGAGGTGCTTATTTCTGACTCCTCTCACATGAATTCCAGGTAAATCAGGGACCTCACCAGCGGCCTGAGTCTTGACAGCTGCATGACTCCCAGCCCTCCTCTGCACTCTGCACGGCCTGTCCCGGGCAGGTGGCAAAGCTGTGGGGTCGCCCCCTCGCCCTGTCCTGCACTCACCTCCCCAATCAAGCCTGCCCTCCCCGCTTCGCAGCCTGGTCGCTTGTCTCTGCCTCGTCCCCCTCTTTCTTCCTGTTGCCCAGGCTTGCCTGGTGTGAACAAAGCTTCCGGAAGTTTCAGCTCCTGAGCACAGCCGCGCTGGCTCCTGGCCTCTGACCCCGAGTCCCCCTCTCCACCCAGCGGCTTGCACAGAGGACCTGGGACTCGGTGAGGTCTGACGTCCTCCGCCTTCTGGTCACTCCTGCCCTTCCCTGGCTCTCTCCCCTCAATTCTATTTCATCACAACTGCTTTCTCTTTCTCCAGAGCACAGCTCTCCGCGGTTCTCATGCAGGTCAGCATGAGGAAGTGCTGCGAAGGAGACGGCACCGAGAGGAGCGTGGCGCCCGCACCGGCTCTCAGAGCCCCTCAACAGGGCTGGTGGCAGCGCCGCACTGTGGGAGGCTGTAAGTGTACCCTGGCCGTGGATTTAACCTTCGTAGCATGGCTTTGGGGACGTCTGCTTTAGCACGCAGAACTGATGAAAATTAGAGTGGTTTCCTCTTTAGCCAGTTTTGTCCAGCATT